CTGATCTACCTCAAGAGTGATGCCGAAAGCGCATAGAAAAGTGGCTAAACAGAAAGTTGGGATTTTCTCAAAAGAGTAACCCTCCGGTTCTCAATTTCTATTAACAAAATATCAAAATTTAACTCCTAGAATAAGGGTCATAAGCACCCTTTTATAGACTAATTACAAATTGATTCAAAATTCAAAAATCTAAAATTCTAAAAATAATAAAACTTCCTAAAATAAATAAAAGTAATTAACGTCTAAAAAATAAATAAAAAATTACAAATAAAAAATTCAAAATACATCCCAAATCTTTAATCTCAAATCATTCCAAATATGTTGTTTTCCTTTTCTTCCCAAACAAATCACAATCACATCTGCTGCTTTATTGAAACTTGGATTTGATTGTAATTTGTTATATTTTAAATCACTGCCTTTTTCAACAATTGGGCTATATTTATTAGGCCACAACTCTAGTTGACTACGAGCTTCTTCAATCAATGGTTGGGCCATGTACAATGGGCCAACTGTAAGTGCATCATTCTCCTCTGCTAGGAAAAGATTCGTCCTCGAATCTTGTTTATCTCCACTGATATCAATTTCTTTGGACAAAAGCTCAAATGATAAATCTTCCTCTTTTAAATCTCCATAATTTGATTCTTCATCAGATTTATCATAGACTGGATTATCATAATAAACTAAATCTTCATCATAAGATGGATAATCATCATTAATTGGATTATCATCATAGATCGACTCATCATCATATATGGGATCATCATCACAAACTGGATTATGATCATAGACATGAAAGTCAGGAATCCTGATATGCATCTCGATATCTTGAAAAGTGGACTGATTTCCAGGTCGTACTTTCCAATTTTTCCCTGGTTTATAATCCCCAAGGGATTGACGTCCTCTTCTTCGTCATCTGATGCGTCATCTAATTCCATTCCTTCTTCGGATTGAATGCCCAACTTTGTCCACGCAAGTCGCCGCTCCAAATATTGACTTTCCATGCTCTGCATCTCCATAAGAGTTTGCTTCAAAATTTGAATTTTCATGCATACCCGCATGAGTCGTCGCTCCAAATCTTGAATTCTCTTTCTCTGTGGCCGCACACATAGTTGCTTCAAAACTTGAATTTTCTTGTCCAACGCTTGCTCAAGTTGTTCCTTGAAATCTTGGATCCGCCTTCCGAGCTCTTCATTTTCTATGTCTCGCAGATCAATTTGACGCAGTTGTCTATATTCTTCAGGAACGAATCCACGTTCCTTACCCTCGTGACCCCGCCGTCGTCGACCTCCACGATTCTGTTCAGCCATTGGTTGAAGGCAACCTAGTGCTCTGATACCAAATAATGCCGAAACAGTAACCAATTGGCTAAACAGAAAGAAGAACGAAACAAGGATTGCGAGAAAATACTATTCTCTTTTCTTAATTTTCTTTAACCAAAAACAACTTAATAACAATAGGGTTCTCCAAGCCTTAAATAGGCAAAAACAAAATAACAAAAAAAGTAAATAACTATAATCATGCGCAATCAAGGGAGATAACGCACAATCAACGCACACTCAAACATAATCTAAAATAACAAAAGGAAATAACTAGTAATTATTAAAATTCCCTAAATAAAGAAATAAATTATGGAAATGCCCAATCCAAGCGAGTCAGCTCGGGTGCATCAAAGAGAGTGATTCTTTTCTTTGCATAGTAATTTATCTAGTATGCCACTATGCCTAGCTTGCACCAAAGTGCATGATTCACGTATTACCTTATTGGAATGATATAATGCATGTTTCTTTTCATAGATTTTATTTTGTTTTTTATATTGAAATTATTCTCTGAATAGGAGTTGTCCTGGCAGTTTGCGTTGGATACCCTAGCTTACTAGATTGATTGTTTAAGGTTTAGTGTGTATAAACAAGTGACTTGTTATGTTGATCTGAGAGTTTATGGTTACAAATGGAACAAAAAAGGCAGTTAAAGAATCTGAAGCTGGAGAAGGGAGAAGGGTAAAGAAATAGGATTTATTATTATATGATTAGGATCTAGGAAAAATTTTCTTGGCCAAGTACGCAGGCACTTGTAGTTCTCCGAAAGTAAAGATTATAATTGTCTTTTCATAGTCATATTTTTATTATAAATAGAGGTGTTACCTTAGTATTTGTAACACAATTGTTCAGTCTCATTAGTAAAATATATTTTCTTGTGCTCCCTCTCCCTCTCTTTTCCCCTTTTCCATATAATAACTTAACCTTCAACAGGGCTATTATAACACTAGTGATTTAGGCATTCAATTTTCTATATTGCTGATTTTGTATAAATGACTATCAGATATATCGATTATCTATTCCTAGGAGATTATGTTGATCGGGGTCAGCACAGCTTGGAAACTATAACCCTTCTTCTTGCTCTGAAGGTACTCTTGATTGTTTAGATTGTCTTTCTGTGTTGTTTATTGAGTTTGATAGCCTCAAATTTATGCATGGTTCTGTGAATATTGCAGGTTGAGTATCCTAACAATATACATTTAATACGTGGAAACCATGAAGCTGCAGATATTAATGCCCTTTTCGGTTTCCGAATTGAGTGCATTGAGAGGATGGTTAGGAATTTCATATTCCGGACATTGTTTCTTATTTATATTGGGTACACCAACTAACCATGTAAGTTGCTGATCAGGGTGAAAGAGATGGAATTTGGACATGGCATCGGATAAACCGACTGTTTAATTGGCTTCCTCTAGCGGCTCTAATTGAGAAAAAAATTATTTGCATGCATGGTGGTATTGGTCGTTCAATAAATCACTTGGAACAGATTGAGAATATTCAGCGTCCAATTCCAATGGAAGCAGGGTCAATTGTGCTTATGGATCTACTGTGGTTAGTGTGTTTGTGCGCTATTGCGTGTTTATGACAATGTACTTATCCTTTGGATAATAACAGCACGAAATGTTTCTCTCTAGGTCTGATCCTACAGAGAATGATAGTGTGGAAGGACTGCGGCCAAATGCTAGAGGTCCTGGATTAGTTACTTTTGGGGTGGGTGCTCCTTACCTGTCATTTCGTAAATAATTTAATGTTTTAGTTTTCTCATTTACATATAAATATACAGCAATTTGGTAGTTTCAGTGTTTCTTATTGATAAATATGGTAATACATATTGATACTCTTATACTGGTTTATGTGATAGAATTTGATAATTTAGAATGCTCGTATGACTATTTTTTAATTATTCTAAAATCCCCTGCTGATGCATTTCTACTGCTTGATTTTCAACCGTCCGTTGAAACTTGAAATTAATTGAAGGGCGTTCGTGCTTTGAAACTTTTGCAAGTGTAGCATATGTATCTATTGGATAATTAGATTTTAAAGGTAGGCTTTATGTATAGATTTAAATTTGAAAATATCATAAAACTGATTATGTCTGTACATTCTTATTTATCTCCATCTCTTTTGCTGATGTTACTATGATGGTATTTCCTCTAATTTGAAATTTGTCTTCGTGAGGGGTGTTATTTGAATCGTAAATCATAGGTATAGTTGCTTTATTGGACGGTGCCCGTATTTTCTTGATGTTATAATCTTGTATATATGCTCTCATGCTCATTTAAATGGGGTTTTGGTACTTCAGCCTGATCGTGTCATGGAATTTTGCAACAACAATGATCTTCAGCTGATTGTTCGTGCACATGAATGTGTGATGGATGGGTTTGAGCGTTTTGCCCAGGGACATCTGATCACACTTTTCTCAGCTACAAATTATTGTGGTATATGTTGCTGGCTTCTACATTGCACTTTCGTCCTTGGATCATGTTCTTTTTTAAATTTTGGTACTTCCCTGTTACAATAGGTACCGCAAATAATGCTGGGGCAATATTAGTTTTGGGTAGGGACCTTGTTGTGGTTCCAAAACTGATTCATCCATTACCACCTGCAATCTCTTCACCAGAAACGTCGCCAGAACGTCATATTGAAGATACATGGATGCAGGTACTCCTTCAAATATTTTTCCATTGAAATAGTGTGAATTTTGGGCTGTCGTCATTTCACAGTAGTGTAGTGCTTCTATTAAAAAATAAACAATGCTACTAATATGTACAGGAGTTGAATGCTAACAGACCACCAACACCAACTAGAGGCCGTCCCCAAGTAACAAATGACCGAGGTTCGCTCGCTTGGATATAGTGGTCTTTATGAATGTCCCTAATATTTATGCCTTACTGGCTCGTGCTATCGCCTTGTTTTAGTGTTCTGTATATAGCATGATGCCATTTACGGGAGGCTCCGAACCTGTGATCTTAATCCCTGCAGAAAGCTTGGCTTTTTTAGTTTTGATTCTCACCACTCAACCAGCAGGACCTGATAAGATTCAAGTTCGAGATGCAAAGGTTGGTAGCCGCTGCTAGGTTTACTTTGACAATGCTAGAAGTTGCAGTTCGGGTTCACCCCCCCGTTGTAAATTGAGCATAGGTTACGAAGTCAAGGTTATGGTTCTCTGTCATGGATTGTCAGTGCTGGCTATTTTTGTCATTAATTTTTACATATTTTTTACTTCCTGCCCTTAGGCTATTATTGGGTTTTTGTTAATCAAGATGACGAGGTTTTTTCTCTGTGATGGTGAGATATATAAATCAGAAATCTTTCTTGTATCATAGGTGGTGCTTTGTGTAATTTTCATCCCTTGCTCTCTACACTCAAATTTTGTGTGAATCAATATTCTCTGACGAAGAATATGATGTGAATTTTGATAATAGATTTTGTATTGTCTTATTGCTGCTGCAAGAAGCTCGGTGGATTGAATTTAGACTGTATTTATTTTTGATAAATAGATTTTGTATTGTCTTATGTTCCGAAGTATTGATTTTTCAAAATCATGGCAAACTATCCTATGACCCAATTTTTTCTTAAAAAAAGAAAGAAAGAAAGAAAAAGACATTATTGAATTGTAAGCAGAATTTTAAACGCAAACCTATAGTCTCGTCACTCACTCGTTTAACTTTAAACATTATCATCTTAGCTAAATCAGAATGAAATTCTGCATAATATAGGTTTCATATTTGTGGGTCGTAACCAGTGGACAAAAAACAACACTAAGGTAAATACAACTTAAAAATTCCTGTGTATCAGTCATAGGGTGTATAACATCACAAAATGGGATTATTCATTCGGAGGATGTCTACATCCCATGAAGATGACTCTCATGACCCCAATGATAAATATGCTTAAGTATCAAACTGATACAAAGGATAGCCAGCCTGCATGAATAAGTTCCCTTGGACTTCTCGTTGGATTGATTGCACGTGATCCTTCAACATAACAGCAGAATCCCTAACCTCTTTTTACAGGCCTCTGAACGTACGATTTGTTGGGATCTTCTGTCTTAAGCTTCGGGGGGCGAATTTCTCCTTTTTTAGTCTGTAGACATACAAAAAGGTAAATATTAGTGAAGCAGTTTTTTATTTTTGTTCCAACGTATGTGTAAAATGAATACTTGTTCATACAAAAACCAGCAAGCTTAGTATCTCACCTTCTTTCCACCCTTCATAAAATCTCTCCAACTGGATACCTGATAATGAATTGATTCTGTTAATTTATCCATCTTTTCTAATGGTATAGATTTTTTCAGATAAGATAAAAAGATACTACACGCCAACAAAATTTGCTACGAGTCTTCTTTGTAGGTACGCAAGATACATGGAACAATGTCCCTACTAATCGTTCAGATTATTTTTTAAACAGCTGATGAAAAGCAAGAGAATAATCACAACTGTTAAAACCAAAATTAATACAAAGCAGGTCAAACGGACAGAAAAAAGGATTTGCAACCATGGCTTGTAAGCTAGTCCTATTTTATTAATTTTATAGGTATCCAGTCATATGAACAACTTGCAACTTTTTACTGATGATCGAATTGTTAGATAAAATCTATTCATATGCTTATAACAAACAATCACAGCCTCTTTGCAACGAGTTCAATCTGAGTTGCCCCAATTCTAAATTTCTAATTGAGTTAAAATTCAATACACGATTAAGTGGGTCTGCACATTATCAAATGTCAACAATTCAACGCTAATCGCCCTGTTGAGAGGGAGTGTTAAAGATAAAAAAAGATTCCACAAGTCTATTCCTAACATTGTAAGCTTTTCAGTTAATTTGGTTGTTAACATATTATAGGGTCCACGGTATTCTTTACCTCTCCGTGCTAAGCAGTGATACTGATACATGCTATTCTATGTCAATGAATTTTAAATATCCTGTTTAGAAATTTATCTATTTATAATGTTGAGTTAATAGGAAGCATGAAGAGCTGCAAGAAAAGTGGTGTGCTTTCTCCAAATATAAATTTGAATGCAACCAATCAACTGATCTCAAAATCTAAAACACTTGTAAAATCACTTGATGGGAAAGGTTCTCAGCCTGTGATCTAAAATACCAAAGTTTTAAAAACTAGAAAAATAGAACTGATGTTATACTAAGTGGTATAAATGTAGATGCTAAGCAAATTTAGAACCTATTTGGCTTAACTTTTTTCTAGCTTAAAAATAAAGCTAAAGCTATTGGTGGGCTGATTGACCATCTTGCCCCATTTTAATAAAAAGTTATCACTTTACCCCTCTTTTCAAACTATATACCAATTTTGCTTAAAAGCTACTTTAAAGCTCAAGCTATAAATAAGTCGTTCTATAAAATAATTTATATATGCTATAATTCTAACTAAATCACCATAAAGGATATATAATTGCAAATCTCTATATTACTAAGGAGGCTTAAGATAAATATAAATATTATTTAAAAAATAAAGACAAATTCTTGAAAAAATATGATATACTTAAAAAAAATATTTATATACTAATAAATATTTAGATTTATGCAACCTTATCCCCATCAGTGGAGAGACTAACACCAGTAGTGACTACTACCAGGTCACAAGGCTCTGATGGGCCTATGGGCCTGAAATGGATTAGTTAGTTAATTAGGAATTTTCTAAAAGGTTCTTCGTGATAGGATAAAAGGGAGGGGAGTGTGTGTAGTGAGGTAGCATGGAATTGAGCACTTGTTAAATGGGATTTGGAAAAGGATCTCTTTGGGGCCTAGGTATGTTGGTCTTGGAGAGTGAGTGAGGTCTTTTGGGTTTATCTTTTCTGCATTGTCATTGTAATTCCTCTTATCGTTTATTGTTGAAGTCTGTAATTAGGATGAGGAATATGTTAGGCTCTTGCTGCATTCCATTAGTGTCTCTGTTTTACAGTAGTGTCTTTGCTTTACAGTGTAACCAAAGCTTTATCCATGAATGAAATATACTTGTCATCATCTTTCTACTCTTTCTCTGTTTGAATACTGAGTGACTGTGAGTTAGGAATAGGTTCACAATAGGTTCCATTAGGCTCACCCTCTAAAAATTTAAGAGGGGTGCTGTAACAAGAAAAATTGATACAATTTTAAGTCATTTAATTTTTTTAATAAAAAACAAAAAATAAAAAAAAGGGCAAACCTTGGCATATAAGGCTCTCTAGCTTTATAAGGGTAGGGGTGAGTGTTAATTGTATGCAGCACTACCCTTGCAGTTTTACAAAAAGATTGTTTCCCAAACTTGAAACCATAACCTTATAGTCACAAAGGAACAACCTTATCGCTACCCCAAAACTCTCTCTCAACCAAACAATTAAAAATCATTTATATATTTGACAAACCCACAAAAAAAGGATTATCAATCTTATTATCTGAGATAGGTAGGCTAAAGGCCCAAGCCCCAAAGAATAACCACCTGGATTAGTAACTATGAGACTATCATAGAATTGACATCAGCCTTTGCAAACTGCATGAAGAGCAGATTAGTTTGTAAGGACTCTTCTGTGACCCTAAAGGCTGAACTCGGAAGTGGTGCATCATCTGTTCAATTATTTTTCTTAATAAATATTTATCTCATTACTTCAGTATCTCCTAATACGCTCTGGCACTAAACTTTATGACAGAAAGCCAGAAAGTACACGTAGAACATAACAACATTTTGGCCATATTCTGGAACACTTTATAGCTTAATTATAGATTTCACAGGCACAAATTATTAAAAAAAAATGAAATTAAGGTTACCTTTAGTCAAAGATTAACAAACACAAATTGCACTTTGATGTATAAAATGAAGGTTAAAAATAATCATAGAAACTAACCCTCTTTTCTCTTGTTCCTTCCCATTCCTCCTCGTGTTCACGCTTTCTTTTCCACATTTCTTTCTGTTCCTCTTCATCCCTTTTTAATCTGCCTTCCTCCTCTGATATCTACATAATATTGAATAAGCTAAAAGGTCATAAAACAAGAATTCCTCATATGTATATTATTTCTCTCAGGCCAAATTTGCACAGATAAAACCAGTCTCCTAATTATCTCACTTTCTTGTCACTGGCACTACCAAAGACACACTAAAGTTTGGGAAGGGATTTTGAATGTGTGGGGTGGGCGGAGAGGGGTGATTAGAGCATACCCTCATTTGCATTTTTCTTCTCCTCCATTCTTGTTCTGTTAATAATTCACGAACTTTGATTTTGAGCTCCTGCTGGAACTCCTCTGACCGTTCATATTGTTTATCATATTTTCCCTGAGATTCAAGCAGAATAGATTTTTTTTAAAAAAACCAAGGGTATAAATATACTATCTTTACAATATTAAAGCCTGCTAATCTCACCATTCAGCGTGCAATCAGACCACAAGGGAAGCGCAAGACAGTCAGCCAAAAAGAAACACATGCAACAATGGGGGAATATTCTAAAATTCTAGGTTGTGCATTCAGGTGTTACTAAGATCTTAACCTTAGAAAAGAACCCGAGTAAAAATGCATACCTCTTCAACCAAAGACTTAATTTTTGAAGCTGTATCTTTCTTCAGCTGCTTCTTCCTCTTTGCTCTAAGTTCTTCTGTAGTCCACATCAATGGAAAAAAGATGAGTTCTTTTTTTAACACGTCATTAACATTCCTATGAAGAAGGCATTTCTTCTACAGAGATGGAGGCTAAAAAAAAAAAGGAAGAACGGAAGAAGAGAGAAAATAAACAAATAAATAGGGAAAAAAACGTTGCACACAAGAAAGCTTGACCCCAAATAACAAATTTGAGGTTTTCAAGTTTTAAACACATTAAATGAACTCCCCAATCAGATGAATGCAAATGTTAGAGCAAGCACACGGGTTGCTCGCATAACAAACTTTTACCCCGGTGAGCAAGTCACAGCACTCAACAAAGACATAATCAAGAATGACCATTTCTCAGCAACCGAAGTGCTGAAAAACTTTCCTTTTTTTTTGGGTGTTTTTTTTGTGTTGTTTTTTTTTTGGGGGGGGGGGGGAATTGAATTTTTTGAGAAAGAGTGATAAAGATAGGAAAGCAGGTTCCTGAAAATAATTCACAGTAACTTCTCTTAAAATCCATGATACAACCCTTAGTGGAAAGAATTTGCACCGTTAGACAGGTTATAACTAGATGCCAAGTAAACAGGACAAATTCACACTAACCTTTTGCTGAATTAATTTGGCTAAGAAGATAATCTCTTTCATTCTGATCTACTAATAATTGTTGGGCTTTCGCTAGTGCTGCATTCAAGTAAATAGCACAATAAACATTTTAAAAAATTAATATAAACTTTCATGTGAACCCTATAGCTGCAGAATTTATCATCATAATTGATATCTGTAAAGAACATTGGGATACACCATCCCAAAAGCTAGCTCAAAGGGTGGGAGTGCCCAAGGTCTTATAAACCTCACATTAGTTGCCCATACAACCAATGTGGGACTATATTTCTCAACACGCCCCCTCACACGAGAGCCCATTGGGCTTGAAGAGTGGACAATGCAACAGGCCCAGCCTACCTGTGCTAAGAAACTCCACAAGAGAAAGTGGGGGGCGGCGAGGCTCTGATACCATGTAAAGAACCTTGGGATACACCACCCCAAAAGCTAGCTCAAAGTGTGGGAGTGCCCAAGGCCTTATAAACCTCACATTAGTTGCCCATACAACCAATGTGGGACTATATTTCTCAACAATATCCACTTTTCAATATGCTAAAAAAGTAGCATGTATTTTACATCATAAAGTCAGAAAATTACATACAAAATACAGAATCAATGTGATCATGCAGAGGCTCAAAAATAGGATCCTGCTTACTGACTCTACAAGATTGTACTGTACCCAGCAAGGGGTACAATATATATCAAACAAAACAACACACGAATGACATATACCATACTGATGCTAAATTCTTTAATTTTCCTTCTTAGGCATCACTATACATAATTATGGAAATAATAATATCACTGGATTGGTCAAGCTGAAGTTCAATAAAGATGATAGTACGACAAATTGTGAATCGACCAAGCTAATTTTTGAATCATCAATCGTGGATCATATCAAATCGTAAGATTCAAAGGCACAATGAAAATAGCTTGTAATATATCACAGAAATTAGAAATGATGTATAATGGTCAGTGTAATAATTTTAAACTACGAATTAACAATACAATTTAACCATAGCTCTGACAAAACAAAATTATAAGCCATAACTGATTCACATAAAATGACTGTGAGAAGCCTATATTTCAGAATAACAAAAATAGAGCAATGATATAACCAAATGAGGTGCATATAGAGTGAGGAAGTGACTTGTGAAGCTTATGTTTTAAAAGAAAGAAAAAGAGAAATAGAATAGTCAAATACCATGCATAGTCATTAGTGAGTGAGTGAGTGAGTGAGTTACTACATGAATCCCCTATTTCAGAAGAAGAATGAAAGCAAGGCAATGGAATAATCAAATAGGGTGCGTTCAATAGTGCTCTTTTAGTTCCATTTCATTTAACAATTTAAGCTTACTTGACTTTTCAATTTTTTATTTTTATTTTATATTTTATATTTTTTAGTACAAGTAAGGGGCAAAAACGCCCAAAAGAAAACACAAAAAGGAAGACTACTCTGCTGGGCTATCCGAATCCAGCATTTGCCCTAGACTGGGGGGGACAGGAAGGGAGGAACACAAAATTCTCTTGAGAATGGGCTGCAGATGCAGCTAGCCAATCAGCACACCCATTCACATTCCGACTTATATGCTTAAAGGACAGCTGCCATTGCTTATCACGCCACTTCTGGATACACCGCACAATGGAATGAGATGAGTTACTGAGAGGATCATTGGATATAGCCTGAATGGCTAGGAGTGAGTCGCTTTCCACCTCTAGAGCTTGAGCTCTCAAGTTCCAAGCACACTGAAGCCCTTTGAGGATAGCCCAACATTCAGCTATGAAGGTATTGCAGATTCCAATTTTGTACGTGAATCCTGCAATCCACCTACCTCTATCATCACGGATCAGACCTCCACACGATGCTAGATTAGAATTCCTCTTGACAGCCGCATCCACGTTGAGTTTCCACCAACCCTGGGGAGGAGCTTTCCATCTATCAGGATGCCTCTCCATGATCGAGATTGGGAGGTTTGTTGTCCTCCCATTAGCAAGCTTAATCTGGCTTATGTATGAGGAGATTGTAAGGATTGGGTTATGTGGCCTTGACTTTTCAATTTCTTTTATTAGAATTGATGAAAACAAAGTAAAAAGGAAAAAAAGTTAATGAATCGTTCGGTGGTATGGAATCGCACCAATTCATGCATATATCACATGATTCAAAGCCATCTCTGATTCATCTTCATCCCATAATACAAATTACTGGCTTGCTGAATTGTGAGATTCGGACCGCGAATCATAATATTCTAACAACTATGCAAGTTATTACAAAAGTATGTTAATGGAACTGTTTACAAATTCATATCAGTTTGTGTTAGCAGCTCCAAAGAAAAGTGGGCCAGTCTCTATTAGTTAGAGAGGGGGAGATGACAGCGTAAAATAATAGGAGGGAAATAAGAATGATCAGTTTAAGACTGGGAGTCAAAATTGAGAGGGAGAACCCATGTCTCTTGAATAACTAGAGAGATAGGACCAAATCTTTGGTGCTACGGGAGCACCATACATCTATCTAAAAAGGGTAAAAAATTGGGACTTAAATGGAAATAAAGATGAAGGTGTTGGTTTAAATGAGATAAAACTTTCCTTTTTAAGAAAATGGGAGTACCGTAGATCTGTTCGAGAGATAGAGAGGGAATCCTACTTTTGTATCATTCTTGATCTGTGTTCTATACCTCATTGATACTGATCAGAGGTTGTTCACTGCAACAAAGATTGTCTGTTCATCTCAATTCTGTTCCAATTCTATTAGTTTGACTCCAAAAGCTATATCAAACCCACTGTAAGCAAAAGTGATGTACTCATACACGACTAGTTGAGCTTTTGAAGCCTATCTTCTACTATAAATGAAAGGAGTTTGGTCTAAATAATATTCTAAAAGTAATTCTTCCATGACCCAATTACTCCTTCATGCTAAAGTCTATTATATGATATATTTCGATTTATGCATATATTTGCCTAATGGTAGGAAATTAGCAAATTCCAGGGCATATGACCACAGCAACAACTTTTAGGACTCAAGCTAGTTAGTTAATCTAAAAATTATGTGCTCAACAATAATGTAGCAAAATATAGTTTGAATAAACAAGAAACAAACAATAATAAACAACACTTAAGATGTTTAATTCCATCAGAGTTATTATAAATCACGTATTCGTGTACCTCCAAAAGCCTCCTTTGCCTGTGGATGCTTACATTTGTCAGGGTGAACCATCAAAGACAACTACAAAAGAATAGCAAAAGTAAGTTATAAGAGGCCAACAGAACAGTTAAAACAGTCCTCAGGTGGAGGAAGAAATTACCTTGCGGTACTGCTTTTTCACATCATCAATTGATGAATCAAATGGTAGCTTTAGATGCTCAAATGGATTTAACTTAAAACAAGAGAGAATCCTGTGGAGAAAATAAAAACAAAGAAAATGTTGATCAGCAGAGAGAATACAGAAATTAAAACAATAACAAAATGTCTTATTTTCCAAATAAATATTTTGTAATAAAAATCAAGCATTTCATGAAACTAAAAATCGAAGAATACATTTGCTTAAAATTTATTTTTCTTAAGAAAATAAAAATAAAACACACTACACCAGCTCGCCCCTTTTTTTAGCTTATAAATTATTTTCTAGGATCTTTCAGCCAACGTTCACTTTAATGAACCATCAATCACTGATTTCACTTTCATCCTTCAGGCCTCACAACTTGCTTGTTACACCTTCTCTCAAGGACAACAATCTATGTATTCCAGCCAGTGACCAGCACAATATCCAATGTTAACCATTATCTTCAACTAAAATGATTCTTTCCGGTTGCAGTCAAAACACCAATCATATACTCAAATGACGCAATTTAATTCTTTCCGGTACCAGAATATTTACTTATAACCAAATGTTGCTCAGTTTGTTGTTGATAATCAGATTCTCCCATCTTATGAGCATTCCAACTAATGATCGCATCTATGAAGAACTCAAATTCAACGTCGAAAACAAAATTACAATGCCAATCACATATCTCAGGATCATCCAGATTACAATAACTTAAACGACGCAATTTTTGTATCATCAAAAGATCTCAGCACAGGAAACTGTACTAATCCGAATCAAAACAGATGTAAAGCAAATGCTCCCACAACACAACATAAATTCTCCATCAGATGCAATAATTTTTCGGAGATCACTGTCCGAAAACCCTAATCACCTTCTAACCAATCATATAGCAAAAAAGCGAATGCATAGAAAAAAAGACAGGAAAAATAGAAAGAGCGAAAGCAAATTACAGTTCGGAAGTACATAATCACATAGCGAAACACACGCACAAACAAATACACCGGCATATATATATATATATATATATATATATATATATATATAGAGAGAGAGAGAGAGAGAGAGAGAGGGGTACCTAAGGACCTCGTTGTCCCTCTCAACTTCGCTGACTTCGGCGAAGAAGTTTTTGAGAAGTAAATCGTCATCGATGGTGGCCGCTGGGGTTGTTTCTCCCATTTTTTGCTTCCTTCCCTGCAATTCAATTTTATTTCGGATTCGAAAAACCAAACTCGTTATCGTGATTCGTGTCGTGAGCGAGAAAATTTGAGAATCCGTTCAAACGACAATATAAGATCTTATTTAGAACACCTTATGGATTATTTAACAGCGCAGTATTATCGAATCAAACGACACTAGCTCTATCTTCTCCTTTCAATCTTTCATACTAAACCCTCCTTTATTTACCAAAAAAAAAACCCTCCTTTTATTTTCCGTACCGAACCTCACACAAACGTAATGTCGTTTTAGGGCTGATTTAAAGAAGCCGACCTTAGAATTATAAGGTAATTTCTTTATCAATAATAAATTAATAAGGGATAAAAGAAGCTAAATTCTTATATATTAAGAACAGTCATCATTTTGTCACCGTCGGCAAAAAAAATTACCAGACTGCTACGTCAACAGTAAATTTTGTCAAAATGCCACGTGGCATATTTCGTTACACTGTGTAGCAAAATATGTATGCAAATAATTCATATGTGTGCAAATAATTCCCTACTCAGTGTAGCGAAATATGTCACGTCAAACAGGGAGAATTTCGCTACACAGTGTAGCGAAATTCTCCCTGTTTGACACGTGGCATTTTTGTTTCTGTGCATTCTGACGTGGCATATTTCGCTACACTGTGTAGCGAATTATTTGCACACATATTTCGCTACACAGAGTAGCAAAATATGCCACGTGGCATTTTAGTAAAATTTACTGTTGGCGTGACAGTCTGGTAATTTTTTTTGTCAACACTGACACTTTGGTCACTGTTCCACTGTAGTTAAACTAAATACAAAATACATTACTTCAACACATACTATTGGATTAACCGATAATGTTCTTAAAATATATGAAGAAACTAAATAATTTTAAAACAAATTACTTTATTATTTAAAAGATAAATATGAATATTTAGGAAGAAAGAAAATTTAATTATAAAAAATTTACTTTTGGTTTGACAGAAAATTCTCACTCCAACTTATTCTGTGGTAGATTGAACACTTACCCCTTTGCAAATAACTTAGTACTATATTGCAGAAAGATGAAGAAATATTTGATATAGCATGTCATTGGAAGTATTTGATTGATGTTCTGCTGTTTGAGGATTGCTGCTGTTAGCCTCTGTTTTTGTTGGGTTAGATGCTGAAAGATTATATGCAATGTGATGTTATAAAGACTAGCAAATTTGTCTTGGGATTTGGATTCTGAAAAATTTGGTTAAGCATTGCTGAATTATGAAATTATGTTTATGCATGATATCCTGAGAACTATGTATGATGTTATTGCTGTTCCGACATCCGGCCTATGCTAGTTATATTTTCTATGCGTTGGACATGATTTAATTGAGTAAGAGCATGAACTTTTTTGAAGGTTGACATGTTAGGATGTATATTCTGTTTTGAAAAGAGTTGTCGCATGATCTTTATATTTCGTCTGGAATTTTTATGATTCTGGAATTTCAATTGTCGAACCAGTTTCTGCTGTGTGTAAATTCGAATTTTTGAACAGTTTTAGCGAGCACATTGCGAGTTGTCGTTATGGGGATACAAACCTCCGAATGAGGTATAATTTATACGGATGTAAAGCCCCAGTCGTGTATTTTCATATTATATAAAGAGTATGTCCATAGCTCTTAAGCCTAATTTATTATGATTTTTGTGCTCGCTAAAACTGTTCAAAAATCTGAATTTACATATTGCAGAAATTGGTTTGACAATTAAAATTCCAGAATCATAAAATTTGCAAACGAAATATAAAGATCTTGCGGCAACTCTTTTCAAAACAGAATATACATCCTAACATGTCAATCTTCAAAAGAGTTCATCCTCTTACTCAATTAAATCATGTCCAACGCATAGAAAATATAACTAGCATAGGCCGGATGTCTGAACAACAATAACATCATACATAGTTCTCAGGATATCATGCATAAACATAATTTCATAATTCAGCAATGCTTAACCAAATTTTTCAGAATCCAAATCCCAAAACAAATTTGCTAATCTTCATAACATCACATTGCATATAATCTGGTTGGTTTGACACAAAATTACGTCGTTCTTTAGAAAATATAGGTTGATTAATTTCAATTTTGAAATATATATTGAAAGAATTTAGTTTCTTGAAAATTCATTTAATTGAATTTGAAAATTTCATAACATAAAGTTGTCTCAACCAAATGACCTAAAAAATCATCGGCTCAATTAATCCTTTTTAAATTATTGTTTTATTATTATTATTTTTTGGTAAAACACATACAACAATATACAAAGATTTGTAATATAAAAAAAATGAAAAAAATTAATCATACAAAAAGGTTAAACTTAAATATATTAGTGTCACCAAACTATCTTTGCTAAAAAAAATAACTCTAAGTACAAAGCATATATTAACAAGCTATCATAGCTAAATTAAGAAAAAATTAAAAAATTACAATTTAAATAAAAAATACGAATTTAAAGCGATTTATAAAATATCTATGAAACTAATGTACTCAGTTGTGCACCATCAATTTGAATGCAACTCACTAGAAACTACCATGTGGCATTAAAGGTTATCGTTTGTATAATATAAAGGTGCTCTTAGTGTCACGTGATGAACTCTAATAAGTTAGACCCAAATTGATCGCAACTAGTTGCACATTAATTTGGGTATAACTAATCAGAACTTGTCAAGTGACCAGTTGCGCTCAGATTGATGTGCAATCAATTCGCTTAAAATGGTGTGCAAGTGATTGTATTAATTTTGTATCATGAGTGAGTCTTGGATGTCAAAACACATCAGGAAAATCTCCTTATATAGATGGAAGGAAGGTGGATGGAGAAAAATCTCTCCAATTTGGAATTTCAAAGATAAAAGGAAATGACTTTTACCCAAGTGGAACTTCCATGGTTTAAGTGTATCCTTTTCTTTTATCGTTTTATTTTTTTTAATAAAATTTGTTGTCATTTTTTCTATCAACTAAAAACATGAAAAAATAAGTGTTTATAATCTTATTTAATATTTTTTTTTGTAACATCTTATTTAATGTTTTTAATTTTTAAATAATTGAGACAAAATTAAATATACACAAAGATACACTTTCATATAATGGACCCTAAAACATATCTCGATATGTCACATCGAAATAAACTATTATTAATTTAAAGTTATTAAATAGTTGAAGTCATGTTAAATAACTCAACGTCATACATAACACTCCTTCATTAGCTAGTACCTTAGACCAAGTTTCTAATAGCTTAGATCATAAATAATATATAATGGTAATTCAGTTTATAGCATAGAGAACATTTTGAGAGCAAAATCACACTATTTGCTAATTGGTTATTGATAAATGAGTTTTTGTATGAGAATTGTTTTCTCATATTCTGATTCAATTAATTATGGACCTCACACTTATTTAAAAAACAAAATTTTGCACATAAATCAATGGATCACAACATGTAATACGAGAAGTGTTTTTCCCTTGTTAAATTAGTATTATTTTATGTTATATTTTGTCAATTGTTTACCCACCCATAAAATGGTAGCTAAAGTAAAATTCAAACTATAGTTGTTGATGTTGTCATCGCCCAGTCTAGCATTGTTTTATATGTGTACTCGTTGGGTTGAACCGAATCGATTTTTTTTAAAAATTGAACCGAATTGGTTTAAATGGTTCGGTTCGGTTCAAAACTGGTTCAGTTCAGAAGTGGTTCAGTTCAGTTGGAAACGGTTCGGTTCGGAAACGGTTCCGTTCGGAACCGGTTCGGGTCGACCCTCTTTTGAAAAGATAAAATAAGTAAAAATTTAAAAAATAAAGTTATAAAAATAATTTGGTTCGGTTTGAAAATGGTTCGGTTCGGTTCAAAATGGTTCGATTCTTAAATTGGTTCTAAAAATCGGTTTAGTTCTTAAACTGGTTCTAAAAACCAGTTCGGTTTATGAACTAGTTCTTTAAAAATCGGTTCGGTTCATGAACTGGTTTTTAAAAACCGATTATTTTAAAGAGCAATTCGGTTCGGTTCATGGTTCGATTCAGTTTTTTGGTTATTTTACACACTCCTAACTAAGATTTAGTGTGATCTAATAAATTATAATTGATGAAAATCGGTTAAGAGTTGATGTCAAATTTCGGTGTCAAATGATATGTCGTATATATATATATATTAACTCAAGGAGAGGCAAACATATCACGGATGGATCATGGTGTTCCAAAAAAAAAAGACCAATTAGGCAGGATGCGACCCATCTTGAAACCCCATTGGCTTATATTACAAAAGCAATAAAGTTGAAAAGAAACCATGATAATTTAGAGGAGGACAAAGATGAACTTAGATTATGTTATGTAATTGTTCCATAGACGGATAAATATAATATATATATAACACTGTTAAAAGTAATTACTCTGATGTTACAAATTAAGTATTCTCTCTTGTTATCCCCCCACTCTCTAAAAGAGTGGAGCAGGGTAGAGAGAAAATGATAGGGTAATAAAATAGTATTTAAGCAATGGGTTTTGGATTAGTAATGTGATCGCATGAAGTTGTGACACAGGTCAGGTAGCAATGCAATAGGGTTCCCAGAACAGAAAAGACCTTCTAGAATCCTTGCAACTCTTCAAACTGTGAACCAAGTAATCACCATTCTTGCCTCTCAGAACCAGCAACTGTTGTCGGTCATCATTTGAAGTTTGATTAATGTCCCCAGAGACAACGAGCTTGCTGTGACTGTGATTGTTCTTCAGGGATGAGTAGTTATAATGTTGATGGGTAAAAGTGTTAGGAATAGAAGCAGCATTTGCTGTGGGCTTCGTCTGCCAGTAGTACTCATAAGCATTGAAAGCAGCCACAGTTGGTGTTGATGGAATTAGCCGAGCCCTTGTCCTCAGTGGGAGTGACTGTGCCACTGGACTATGTTGCTCCACATTAACATCCTCAAAATTGGCCACTTCGTTCAACTTCTCTGACCATTTTGGACTCCTATTAACTAACTCAATTTGCTTATTCATCATTAATGCTAACCTATGAACACTTGAAAGCCCACTACATAATATAGGTGCTTGCTTTATATCAGCATCATCTTCCTCTGCCTCATAATCTTCCTCAAACTTCACGAATTCTTCCTCCTCCTCCTCCTCCTCGTCCACATGATCTTTCTCTTCGTCATCGTCATCGTCATCGTCGTCGTCATCTTCTTCGGTCACTTGGCTGTCATCCTTGTCAGGATGACTGGCTAAAGTGAGGACTAGGCGACCATCTTGGCGTTGAGCACAAAAGTTGTTCTGTGAAGGAATGGATACAGCTTGTAGGAACAACCTTCCGTTGTCACGATGGGACTGCATGCGAAGTGAAGGGAGTGGAGGAGGGAAAGAACGAGATAGTGACTTCTTCTCAGCATAGTTGTATTTTGGCACTTGCAACTCTTCCTCATGTGCTTGCACTGTCACTTCTTCCTCTTCTTCCATGTTGTCCTTGTCCTCCTCTGAATCCCCTGTCTCAGATGGTGTGCAAGAGGAGAATCCATCAGAGCCAGTTTCGGATCCAAGAGACTCTGTGCATATTTCGAGACTCTTTTTACTCAAACAACTTTTAGATTTCACAAGTGGGTGAATATAAGGAGGTAACTTGTTGGAGGTTTCATCGTTGGCCTTTTGTGACAAGATTGAGCTCCAGATATCAAAAGGTCCTGGTTTCTCATGTTGTTCCTCCTTCTTGTCTCGCTGAATTGAACTCCAAATTTTGAATCGTTCGCGCTCCACTTCAACTTCCAGCTCCTTCATTTCTTCATAGTCATCTTCTTCTCCTTCGGAAGAGGACAATGATTCAGCAGTGACTTTTGAGTGTGAGTGTGAGTGTGAGAGTTCTTCGGATGAAGAAATCTTTTTCATGGGAGAAACCCCATTTTGTAAAAGCCATTTCTTTGAAGACATGTCTGCGGATAGTGTTCGACGCAGAGAAGTGGCAGAAGCTCTGTTGCTATCAAAGTCAGAGCCCAAAATGGTGACAATGCCCTGCTTCTGAACCAGCATGGTCTCTTCGTCCATTCTGAGAGACTCATCAGATATGCCTTGGACTTGGATCTTCTTGCTTATACAAAATGACATCTCCAAAATAATCCGCAGAGAAGCACAAACACTTTACTTATCTGCACACAAGTAAGCAAAACTTAGGAAAATGCCAAACAAGACCCGAGAAGAAGGAACACTGAGCTAGTGAAGTATTTAACAGAATTTCAAGTGACAAAGCATAGTTGGGTACGTGAGTGTAGATTTAGAAAAAAAATACACACAAAAGCTTAAAAAAGGATTTGAATTAATTACCTGATGCAACACAATAGCATCCACTAGGAGTGCTAGTTGCAAAGGAGGAAGAAAGGGTGAGGAAGGTGACGATGCTGATTCAAATGATGTTAGAGGAATGGCTGAGGTTGATGGTACTGCAAGTCGGGAAAATGGGGTATTTGTAGGGTGCCAAAAGCTTCTTGAACCGGATCCTCTACGCCACCATGAAAAGACCCCTTTATTGTTTTCCTTTTTTTTTTTTCTTATCGTAAAAAGGTGTCATATATAAAATAAAAATATGGTTTAAATTTTGGGAAATGATCCATTTACAAATTTTTTTTTACAAATTACACTAAGTATGAATGGTCATACACTCTTGATTGAAGTATGACCAGTCATACTTAGTGTAGTTTGTAAACAAAAAATTTGTAAATATAATCTTCCCCCTTAAATATTACGAGTGAGGGCTCTTGTAGATTATGATGCACTGATATTTCAAAAAATCTGACGTATTGTGTCCAACACTTCTCGATACTTTCCGACACTCCAACACAGGTTGTAAAGATTCAAAAAAGGTTCAAAGGTTTCGTTGCGTTTTTAGTTCCAACTATTAGATTCGTTTGATTACAATTACTATTTTATTGAGTTTAATATAAATATTTGAGATATTTAATGTTTCTTTGCAAAATTGATTTGTAATATAAGTATAATTTCATTTTTTTTGTTAAATTATTAAATATTAAATATAATATACACTACATAAATTAAAAATATTATTTAATATCAGAACGTGCCCTAACATATCAAAATCTAATATTTTTTAGAATTAATGTATCGAAGTGTGGAATCGTATCATATATTTTGTCCTGTGTCATTGCAACATAGCTTGGAGGTTCACATGAGCTTTTCTACTCAAAATTTCACTGTTTAACTATAGAGCATAGAAAACGTATTGACTATTATATCATTCAATTGTGGCATGAACTAAAACAGTTAAATGAAAAGTAGGATCAATTGTGCCAAACTTTGTTGTTTAATAACCATCGCAACTTAAGTTACTTGATCTGAGACTTGACATGTGAAAATAAAGTGGTATAGTAAAACAACTTTGTACGGCCATTTAGTTTAACATGCTAGACATGTATTACTATCGCCCATGCATATCTCATCTGATCATCTGATATGTGATTAACGTGCAAGGTAACTTTCATTAAGTTGTTCCCTACTTGTTTTGACAAAGTAAAAATCTATAAAAGCATAGCTAATGATCTACCGGTTTGGTGTCACAAACTTCCTTTTGAAATAAGAACAACCATCATTTTCTTCCATACCCTTTCCCCACCCAAAAAAAGAAAAAAAGAAAAAGAAAAAGAAAAAAAGTCATTGATAGAGGAAACACCAATGAGACCAGGACACCATAACCATACTCAATGGAGAAAAAGCATGACTAAGATGCACATAAGTAATATTACCAATTAGGTAAGGTAGAAAGTGACATTTATTGGGTGAAAAATGGCTTAAGAGGGAAGCAAAGGAATAAACTTTGGGAGAGGCTAATATGATTGGGAGGGCTCTATTGGGAAATTCGTTCCCTCAAATTCCAATGTCAAGCGGGTCCAGGGGAAGTCCGTGGCGGGGAACCACCACCAATGAGCTAACGCTACACCAACCGTAGCAAGTGGATCCGACACCATGTCTCAACCCAAAATCTTAAGGCATTGGGTTCATGGATCCTTTCACTTATATACTCTTCACTTAGCTCATTACCAACCAATGTGGGACTCATCACACTTGAATATCTCAACAATCTCCCCCTCAAGTGTGAAACCCACCATTGGTATGCTCCCCCTCAACCGAGTACCCGAAGCGTAAAGTACTCGACCCGCCTACTCATCACACTTGAATATCTCAACAATCTCCCCCTCAAGTGTGAAACCCACCATTGATATGCTCCCCCTCAACCGAGTACCCGAAGCGTAAAGTACTCGACCCGCCTCCTAGCCAATCACTAGGCTAGCTCGAGCCCAATCCGGATTTGATACCACTGTTGGAAAATTCGTTCCCTCAAACTCCAATGTCAAGCGGGTCCAGGGGAAGCCCGTGGCGGGGAACCACCACCAATGAGCTAACGCTACACCAACCGTAGCAAGTGGATCCGACACCATGTCTCAACCCAAAACCTTAAGGCATTGGATTCATGGGTCCTTTCACTTATATACTCTTCACTTAGCTCATTACCAACCAATGTGGGACTCATCACACTTGAATATCTCAACAGGCTCCCCACAATCCAATATCCGACACTTATATCTATATTACTTTTAAACTAATCAAATGGTGGTAGTTTGATGGGCGCATGAGAATATGTGTTTGATTTTCTCCAATATCACCTTTAGAGGAGTTTAAAGTCTTAATTCTGAACTCGTCCCGAATTAAAGTAGTTACCAAGTGAGGAACGAGTTGGAATATTTCTCAAAATATATATATTAATTTTAAACTATTTAAATCACAAGGAATAATATGTATGTGGAAACGAATGAACGCGCGTCATTTCTTGCTTTTTTGGACCCCCTTTTGGATACAAAAGTTACTTCATTTGTCTCTCACTCTCTTTATGGCCTCGTTTGGCACTGTATTTTGCATTTATTTGTGAAACTCCGTCTCCGTACGTGCTCATGGAAAGTCATGTGATTTATACATTACGGCGGCCAATACGTCCACCGCGTATATAATACACATGAAAAGGTATTGACGTTGATCAATTCAAAGCAGAGTGTAGAATAATACGCCAAAAAAAAAAAAAACGAATTATTAATACATGAATACAGAGAGCAATCGAAAGCCAACTAAGCTTTGCCATAAACATAAGAACGCAAAGAGGGAAACCAGATGCGCCTTGTCTGGCTATAAACTATAAAGCAATGCCACTCAAAACGTACAAAGCTTATCTACAACGTAAATCTTTTAAATATATATATATATATATATATATATATATATATATATATATATATATATATATATATATGGGACATGATATTTTGACACCAAATTTCAACCGTTGATTTCTGCTAATCAACGGTTATCATTTATTGGAATTAATAATTGATTAATAAGTGTAATTCCCAATAAATGATAACCGTTGATTGGCGAAAATCAAAGGTTGGAATTTGGTGTCAAATTTCAAAATTTGACACCGGTGTTAAAGGATCTTATCCCTATATATATATATATATATATATATATATATATATATATATATATATTATACGGATAGATTATTCTACCTACTATTTTTTTTCCTACTAAAATATAATCTTATCTAATTTTTATCTTTCTTTCTTCTCTTAAGATTCTAATTCAACGATATTTTAGAGTGGTAGGCAAAGGTAGGCAGAAAAAATAGTACCTATCCCATATATATAAGAAATAGAATTAAACAATTTCTCAAGCGAAGTTATTTTCTAACAAAAAAAGAAAAAGATAATTCCATATTTATAAGAAATAGAATTAAACAATTTCTTTCCGTCTAAATCAAAGCCCCAACGTTCTAGTGAGGGTTTGTATGACGTTTGGCAAAATTTAACCTTTTATTTATAAGAAAAGTGACTGCTGATGAAATTTAGGTCAAGTTGCTTATTACGCAATATGGGTTATGGATATGATTTTTAGGGGTCCCTCGCACATGATCAGTTCCCATTGCCAAAAATAATTATAATGGATGAGTTACTCTAAGTCCCTTGTTCACTCCCATCAAAAGGAAGGATGATCATAAAATTGATAGATTGCAAATATATAGTTGGGTACCATATTCTGTCGATCAGGCACATTTGGTGGAGTTTAAGCTTCGCACAATCTAAAAGCCCTTTCAAATTCTGATAATTTATCCTCTCAAAACAACAAAAGAAAGAAAGAATCATATTCCGAGCATATGGAGGTGTGAGTAGGATAAAGAACTCTAAATTAAAACAGTTGGCAAGACTTTCATCAACATTTTTGTAGGAGTATATATAATAATAACATATGATTAGACATCAATTTATATACACAATATTCTTATTTACCAAAAAAATTTAATAAATTATAGCGTGTAGAAATTATTATATATTACTATCCTTATTTGCATTTGAGTTTGACAAGAAAAAATGGTTTACTCTTTGTTGGTGAGGACTTTGTTGGTGAGTGATATGTAATCCCTCTCAGAAATTCTCAAAGAGGTTGGGGGGTCTTCCCTGACCCTAATAAGATACCGGTGTCTAATCTCACTTAAACTTTTTGTCATACAAAAAAGAAAAAAAGAAAAAATGGTTTACTCTTCACATTGCTATTTCAAGTTTGAACTAGTCAATTACAAAGTTGAAAAAAGTTTAAATTCATAAAATATATCTAATTCAGCGTACAAAAACTTACTTCAAGTAATCCAAAAAGTAGTACATCTGTACATGCATAGCAATAAAAGAAGGGTTTTATAAAAAGTTATAAGGAAAAGTGACTTATATAATGTTATAGAGATTCATTTTGCGTGCCGTAGTTTTTTTTGTTTCAAAAAGTGTGAGCGCCACAAAATGTTGTGTGTGTAAGAAACTTTGTAGTGTTATGTTAAATGATAAATGCAAACCCAATAAAAGAATGGTTGTTTTATTTTATATTATTCCTTAACAACGGAAAAAACCATTGCACCGTCTCTCTCTGGAGTAAATTACACCTTCCCTTTTCATGGAACACATGAAGTTCAGTGGAAGAAAGTTGCGTCTGACGTATAATTTCAAAAGCTCTTGAGAATCCAGTGCTAACTAGGCAAAGTGTGGCATTTGCGAATGAACATTCACAAGCTTTACATTATTTAAATAATAAATAGGGGGAAATAGGCGGTGGTGATGATGGTAGCAAAAGATTCATTTCCAAACTTTTTCATAAGGATAAACAGAGAGTACTTAATGAATTGGATATTCGTGCGTTCTAATAAATAAAGACAATAGTGACGCGACTCTTCATAGGAGAATTTTGGATGGAGTTGGGAATATAATTAGAAAAACAAAAGCAAGGGACTGCAACTCGAATAATCAATAGTTTGTTTAGATTAGTGCATCCTTGGGTTGTAGGGTTTTGCCGAAAGTAACTCGAGCCCATGTTTGGAT